GTGTGTGTGTGTGTGTGTGTGTGTGTGTGTGTGTGTGTGTGTGTGTGCGCGTTTGAGGAAGGGAAGCAGTGATGTTTATGTTCGCCCATGTGTATGATGTGGCTCTTTGCAGTACCACAGTAAAAAAGATGGCTCTTAGTCTCTGACTGGTTGGCCACCCCTGCTTTAAAGTGTTAGATAAAGAGCAAGTGTTCATTTTATGCTACATTGTCGTATTTTAGACATTTTGGTTAAAGGTGTGTTTCAGTCTAAACATTAGTATCAACTTTCTTTGCTGCAGTTAAAACATGTTTTGAACAGCACCTGATTAAGTTAAATAAATGAGAAGTAAAAGCTTTGCAATTTATACAATTTAAAAGTAAATGTAAAAAAAAAGGCTAGAAAAAAGGTATGCCTCCATTGAATAGGATCATCTTTGAAACTGAAGCATGAGTTGTTTGGGAAAAATATTCACGATGATTTCAATGTTTGAACATCGCGCTGGGGCCGTACCTGGCCGACCACGCATGAATTAGTTTACACAAAACACGATTCAAATACTCAACATTCAATGATTAATCTGCCTTTTGTATGCACACATGCACCCTTTGTGGCTTCTGTTCTCGCCGGAATTTCGAAATCTTTGCGATATGGCGAGGCCATGAGAATGCGAGGGGAGGGGTGTGACTGTTACGAGAGTTCGTGCCTCAACAGGGCAATGTTCGTGAAAGCAAAACAACGAACTCAAACGCGTGTTCGTTCAATATTGTCAAGTAATATCCGGATTAATTTTAGGCAATTTTTGCTCAATTTTCCAGAGGAAATTTCATGACAATTTAAAAATCTGGAATTCTGGGAAAATCCGGAGGACTTTCAGCTCTAAATAAAGTACAACAATGCAGACATGTCGCACATAAAGGAAGCATGTCTTCAGTCCAGTCCCATCCCTCCAGATTATGCTTTAATTTTGCTGTAGAACTCTAAGAAATAGCAATGCAGAGACTGAATAGCTCAGTTGTAGAGCATCAGACTTTTAATCTGAGAGTGTGGGCTTCAAGTCCCTGTTCAGGCAATGTAATTGATGTGATATCATAAAATTTAAGTGGAAGACATTTTCCTGTTGTTGAAAGTCGATACGTCTGAGTCAGAACCCGGAAAAGTCGACCTGGATGACAAGGAATATGAGAGAAACAAGAAAATCATTTGGGTCTGCCAATAAACTCTGGAAAGTCCAAAAATGAAGTCATTCATGTCCTCAAATAAAGTCAATCAACTCCATCAATAAAGTTTTGAAAGCATGGGGTCACAAACTGTATTTAAACGTGGGGGCAGCTGAGATAGTCTGGATGTTTCTGTGCCGCATCAAGTATTCCACATAAAAGTTAAATAAAGTACAACAATGCAGCCATGTCGCTCATGAAGGAACCATATCTTCAGTCCAGTCCCCCATCCCACCATATTATGCTTTTATTTTGCAGTAGACCACGAAGAAAGAGAGAACTACAGAGCCTGGATAGCTCAGTTGGGAGAGAATCAGACTTTTAATCTGAGGGTCCATGGTTCAAGTCCCTGTTCAGGCGATATAATTGATTTGATGTCAAAAACCTGAAGAGAAAAACATTTTCCTGTTGTTGAAAGTTAATACTTTCGAGTCAGAACCCTGTGGGGTTTAGCAAATGTGTTGATAAAGAGACGAAAATCTCTACTGTTACTAGTGTTAGTGTCTCAACATGGCTATGTTCGTGAAAGCAAAACAACGAACTCAAACGCGTGTTCGTTCAATATTGTCAAGTAATATCCGGATTAATTTTAGGCAATTTTTGCTCAATTTTCCAGAGGAAATTTCATGACAATTTGAAAATCTGGAATTCTGGGAAAATCCGGAGGACTTTCAGCTCTAAATAAAGTACAACAATGCAGACATGTCGCACATAAAGGAAGCATGTCTTCAGTCCAGTCCCATCCCTCCAGATTATGCTTTAATTTTGCTGTAGAACGCTAAGAAATAGCAATGCAGAGACTGAATAGCTCAGTCGTAGCGCATCAGACTTTTAATCTGAGAGTGTGGGCTTCAAGTCCCTGTTCAGGCAATGTAATTGATGTGATATCATAAAATTTAAGTGGAAGACATTTTCCTGTTGTTGAAAGTCGATACGTCTGAGTCAGAACCCGGAAAAGTCGACCTGGATGACAAGGAATATGAGAGAAACAAGAAAATCATTTGGGTCTGCCAATAAACTCTGGAAAGTCCAAAAATGAAGTCATTCATGTCCTCAAATAAAGTCAATCAACTCCATCAATAAAGTTTTGAAAGCATGGGGTCACAAACTGTATTTAAACGTGGGGGCAGTTGAGATAGTCTGGATGTTTCTGTGCCGCATCAAGTATTCCACATAAAAGTTAAATAAAGTACAACAATGCAGCCATGTCGCTCATGAAGGAACCATATCTTCAGTCCAGTCCCCCATCCCACCATATTATGCTTTTATTTTGCAGTAGACCACGAAGAAAGAGAGAACTACAGAGCCTGGATAGCTCAGTTGGGAGAGAATCAGACTTTTAATCTGAGGGTCCAGGGTTCAAGTCCCTGTTCAGGCGATATAATTGATTAGATGTCAAAAACCTCAAGAGAAAAACACTTTCCTGTTGTTGAAAGTTGACACGTCCGAGTCAGAACCCTGACCCATCAGAACAGTCGTCCTGGATGACAAGGAATATGAGAGAAACAAGAAAATCATTTGAGTCTGTCAAGTCCAAAAATGAAGTCATTCATGTCCTCAAATAAAGTCAATCAACTCCATCAATAAAGTCTTGAAAGCATGGGGTCACAAACTGTATTTAAACGTGGGGGCAGCTGAGATAGTCTGGATGTTTCTGGGCCACATCAAGTATTCCACAAAAAAGGTTCAATAAAGTACAACAATGCAGCCATGTCGCTCATGAAGGAAGCATACCTTGAGTCCAGTCCCACCATATTATGCTTTTATTTTGCAGTAGACCGCTAAGAAAGAGAGCAATAAAGAGCCTGGATAGCTCAGTGGTAGAGTATCAGACTTTTAATCTGAGGCTCCAGGGTTCAAGTCCCTGTTCAGGCGATATAATTGATTAGATGTCAAAAACCTGAAGAGAAAAACATTTTCCTGTTGATGAAAGTTGATACTTTTGTGTCAGAACCCTGACCCGTCAAAAGTGTCGTCGTGGATGACAAAGAATATGAGAGAAACAAGAAAATCATTTCAGTCTGTCAAGTCCAAAAATGAAGTCATTCATGTCCTCAAATAAAGTCAATCAACTCCATCAATAAAGTCTTGAAAGCATGGGGTCACAAACTGTATTTAAACGTGGGGGCAGTTGAGATAGTCTGGATGTTTCTGGGCCGCATCAAGTATTCCACAAAAAAGGTTCAATAAAGTACAACAATACAGCCATGTCGCTCATGAAGGAAGCATACTGTCAGTCCGGTCCCCCGTCCCCATATTATGCTTTATTTTGCAGTAGACCACTAAGAAAGGGAGCAATACAGACCCTGGATAGCTCAGTTGGTAGAGCATCAGACTTTTAATCTGAGGGTCCAGGGTTCAAGTCCCTGTGCATGCGATATAATTGATTTGATGTCAAAAACCTGAAGAGAAAAACATTTTCCTGTTGTTGAAAGTTGATACTTTCGTGTCAGAACCCTGACCCGTCAGAATAGTCGTCCTGGAGGACAAGGAACATGAGAGAAACAAGAAAGTCATTTGAGTCTGCCAATAAACTCTGTAAAGTCCAAAAAATGAAGTCATTCATGTCCTCAAATAAAGTCAATCAACTCCATCAATAAAGTCTTAAAAGTAGGGGTCACAAACTGCATTTAAAAGTGGGGGCAGTTGAGATCATGTGGATGTTTCTGGGCCGCCTCAAGTATTCCACAAAAAAGGTTCGATAAAGTACAACAATGCAGCCATGTCGCTCATGAAGGAACCATATCTTCAGTCCAGTCTCGTCCCCATTTTATGCTTTTGATTTGCAGTAGACCGCTAAGAAAGAGATCAATACAGAACCTGGATAGCTCAGTGGTAGAGCATATCAGACTTTCAATCTGAGAATCCAGTGTTCAAATCCCTGTTCAGGCAATATAATTGATTTGATTTCAAAAACCTGAAGAGAAAAACATTTTCCTGTGGTTGATACTTTCGAGTCAGAACCATGACCTGTCACAATAGTCGCCCTGGATGACAAGGAATATGAGAGAAACAAGAAAATCATTTGAGTCTGCCAATAAACTCTGAAAAGTCCAAAAATGAAGTCATTCATGTCCTCAAATAAAGTCAATCAACTCCATCAATAAAGTCTTGAAAGCATGGGGTCACAAACTGTACTCAAACGTGGGGGCAGTTGTGATTGTCTGGATGTTTTTGTGCCGCATTAAGTATTCCACAAAAAAGGTTCAATAAAGTACAACAATGCAGCCATGTCGCTCATGAAGGAAGCATACCTTCAGTCCAGTCCCAACATATTGTGCTTTTATTTTGCAGTAGACCGCTAAGAAAAAGAGCAATAAAGAGCCTGGATAGCTCAGTGGTAGAGCATCAGACTTTTAATCTGAGGGTCCAGGGTTCAAGTCCCTGTTCAGGCGATATAATTGGTTTGATGTCAAAAACCTGAAGAGAAAAGCATTTTCCTGTTGAAAGTTCATACTTTTGAGTCGGAAACCTGACCCGTCAGAATTATTTTTTTTGCGGCTCCAGACATATTTGTTTTTTTGTTGTTTTTTTTGTCAGATATGGCTCTTTCAACATTTTGGGTTGCCGACCCCTGCTGTAGGGACATGGAATGTCACCTCTCTTGCAGGGAAGGAGCCCGAGCTGGTGTGCGAGGTAGAGAAGTTCCGACTGGATATAGTCGGACTTGCCTCCATACACAGCCTGGGTTCTGGTACCAGTTCTCTTGAGAGGGGTTGAACTCTCTTCCACTCTGGAGTCGCCCATGGTGAGAGGCGCAGAGCAGGTGTGGGCATACTCATTGCCCCCCGGCTCAGTCAGTGCCTGTACATTGGGGTTCACACCGGTAGACGAGAGGGTTGCCTCCCTCCGCCTTCGGGTGGGGGGACGGGTTATGACTGTTATTTGTGCGTACGCACCCAACGGCAGGTCAGCGTACCCACCCTTTTTGGAGTCCTTGGAGGGTGTGCTCGAGAGTACTCCTGCTGTGGACTCCCTTGTTCTGCTGGGGGACTTCAATGCTCACGTGGGCAATGACAGTGAGACCTGGAAGGGCGTGTTTGGGAGGAACGGCCCCTCCGATCAGAACTCGAGTGGTGTTTTGTTATTGGACTTCTGTGCTCGTCACGGATTGTCCACAACGAACACCTTGTTCAAACAAGGGCGTCCATATGTGACTAGGCACCAGGACACCCTTGGCCGCAGGTCAATGATTGACTTTGTGGTTGTTTCATCGGATTTGCGGCCCCATTTTTTGGACACTCGGGTAAAGAGAGGGGCAGAGCTGTCAACTGATCACCACCTGGTGGTGAGTAGGCTCCGATGGTGGGGGAGGATGTCGGTCCGACCTGGCAGACCCAAACATATTGCGATGGTTTGTTGGGAACGTCTGGTGGAATCCCTTGTCAGAAGGAGTTTCAACTCCCACCTCCGGCAGAGCTTTTCCCATGTTCCGGGGGAGGCGGGGGACATTGAGTCCAAGTGGACCATGTTCTGTGCCTCTATTGTTGAGGCGGCCAATCTGAGTTGGGGCCGTAAGGTGGTTGGTGCCTGTCGTGTCGGCAACCCCCGTACTCGTTGGTGGACACCAGCAGTAAGGGATGCCGTCAAGCTGAAGAAGGAGTCCTATCGGGCCTTTATGGCCTGTGGGACCCCAGAGGCAGCTGATGGGTATCGACTGACTAAGCGGAATGCAGCTTTAGTGGTCGCCGAGGCAAAAACTCGGGCGTGGGAAGAGTTCGGTGAGGCCATGGAAGCCGACTTGCGGACGGCTTTGAGGAAATTCTGGTCCACCATCCGACATCTCAGGAGGGGGAAGCAGTGCACCACCAACACTGTGTACAGTGGGGATGGGGCGCTGCTGACCTCGACTCGAGACATTGTAGTTCGGTGGGCAGAGTACTTCGAAGATCTCCTCAATTCGACCAACACGCCTTCCTTGGAGGAAGCAGTCTGGGGACTCTGAGGTGGGCTCTCCTATATCTGTGGTTGAAGTCACCGATGTGGTTAAAAAGCTCCTCGGCTGCAGGGCCTCAGGGGTCGATGAGATACGCCCGGAGTTCCTCAAGGCTCTGGATGTTGTGGGGCTGTTTTGGTTGACACACCTCTGCAACATCGCATGGTCATCGGGGAGAGTGCCTCTGGATTGGCAAACCAGGGTGGTGGTCCCTCGATTTAAAAAGGGGGGCCGGAGGATGAGTTCCAACTACAGAGGGATCACACTCCTCAGCCTCCCTGGTAAGGTCTATTCAAGGGTGGTGGAGAGGAGGGTCCGTCAGGAAGTCGAGCCTCAGATTGAAGTGGAGCAGTGTGGTTTTTGTCCCGGCCGTGGAACAGTGGACCAGCTCTACACCCTTAGCAGGGTCCTCGAGGGTATGTGGGAATTCGCCCAACCAGTCTACATGTGCTTTGTGGACTTGGAAAAGGTGTTTGACAGTGTCCCTCGGGGAGTTCTGTGGGGGGTGCTTCGTGGGTATGGGGTACAGAACCCCCTGATACGGGTTGTTCGGTCCCTATACCACCGATATCAGAGTTTGGTTCGCATTGCCTGCAGTAAGTCGGAATCGTTTCCCGTGAAGGTAGGAATCCGTCAAGGCTGCCCTTTGTCGCCGATTCTGTTTATAACCTTTTTGGACAGAATTCCTAGGCACCACCGAAGCGTTGAGGGGGTCCGTTTTGGTGGCCTCAGTATTGCATCTCTGCTTTTTGCAGATGATGTGGTACTCTTGGCTCCTTCAAGCAGGGCTCTCCAACTCTCACTGGAGCGTTTCACAGTCGAGTGTGAAGCGGTTGGGATGAAAATCAGCACCTCCAAATCTGAAACAATGGTTCTCAGTCGGAAAAGGGTGGAGTGCCCTCTCCGGGTCGGGGAGGAGATTTTGCCCCAAGTGGAGGAGTTTCAGTATCTTGGGGTCTTGTTCAAGAGTGAGGGCGGGAGGGAGCGAGAGATCGACAGGCGGATCGGTGCAGCGTCTACTGTGATTCGGACTTTGTATCGGTCTGTCGTGGTAAAGAAGGAGCTGAGCCAAAGGACGAAGCTCTCAATTTACCGATCTATGTTCCAACCCTCATCTATGGTCATGAGCTATGGGTCGTGACCGAAAGAACGAGATCCAGGATACAAGCGGCCGAAATGAATTTTCTCCGCAGGGTGTCCGGGCTCTCCCTTAGTGATAAGGTGAGAAGCTCGGTCATCCGGGAAGGGTTCAGAGTCGAGCCACTTCTTCTCCACATCGAGAGGAGCCAGATGAGGTGGTCAGGCATCTGATTAGGATGCCTCCTGAACGCCTCCCTGGTAAGGTTTTGCGGGCACGTCCCACCGGGAGAAGACCCCAAGGACGACCCAGGACACGCTGGAGAGACTATGTCTCACAGCTGGCCTGGGAACTCCTCCCAGCTCTCCCTTGGGGAGAGCTGGAAGAAGTTGCTGGGGAGAGGGAAGTCTGGGCTTCCCCGCTAAAGCTGCTGCCCCTGCGACCTGACCCCGGATAAGAGGTAGAAGATGGATGGATGGATGGATAGATCTATCTATCTATAGCTAGCTAGCTAGATAGATATATAGCTGGCAAGATAGATAGATAGATAGATAGATAGATAGATAGATAGATAGATAGATAGATAGAATTTTAACTGACTTACCAGGTTTGTCGCCCTTTGTAATGTAGTCGGACAAAAAATATCCGTTCAAGTCCTTTTCCTCAAGCCATGACCACTTGAATGTGTTCTTAACACTCGTGTCTATTGCATGTATGCTGTTTGAACATTGCTCTGGGGTCGTACCTGGCCGACCACGCATGAATTACTTAAAATATGAAATCACGGGTTTGCTTCGGGCTCGGGCCTGGAAATCAAGTTAAGTGATCGGGCTCATGCACCCTTTGTGGCTTCCGTTCTCACCGAAATTTCGAAATCTCCGAGATATGGCGAGGCCATGAGAATAAGAGGGGAGGGGTGTTACTGTTACTAGTGTTCGTGCCTCAACATGGCTACGCTCGTGAAAGCAAAACAACGAACTCAAACACATGTTCGTTCAATGTTGTCAACTAATATCCGGATTAATTTTTGGCAATTTTTCCTCAATTTTCCAGAGGAAATTTCATGAAAATTTGAAAATCCAGAATATCGGGAAAATCCGGAGGACTTTCATCTCTAATTATAATTATTGGTGGATGAGAGAATTTCTTCCGTTAATCTACTGTTTTGTCGGTGAAGAAGTTTGAGAAAAAAAAAAAAGTTAAAACGATCACTCACAGGCCCTAATTTGGCATCCTCTGCCTCGTAGGTGTAGTGGTCAAGAGCAACGAAGTAGAATCCCGACTCAACTTGATCACAGCGACGCCCGAACATGTGATCTCTGCAGAGGCACTGACCAGTCAGCTGATCGCATCTGAGAGAAATACAGTACGTTATCAATTTGTGAATTGCTTTTCATTCAATCAGACAATGCCAGAGGTGATTAAAGTAGACCATCACAGTTGGCCACTTCATCACACCCCAAGCGACAGAGCACCACACATATATCAATGCACTTCAATGGAAAAACATTGGCCTTGTATCACGCAAAGCTAAGAATATATATTTTTTCTTTGAGGAGCATATTTTCTCATCAAGGACTTCATCTGAAGAGCAAATTACAATTACAATAATACAATACCCAGTAATTGTTTTCTGGTTAATCCCAGCAAGCAAGGGTTTTATTAAACAATACAAACACAACAATATAAGAGGGCTGTTGAATATTTCAAAATGTCTAAATTCCACACTGTGCACAGCACCGAACTCTATATTTTTGTATTGAAGCATTTTCAGTGAGGTAATTTCAAACACATGTAAATTTGAACTTAAACTTAGCATAAGACATTCAATAAAAAAAAAAAAGTATTCTCAGAGTCTGTGTGCAACTTCGGGTATTT